TGTCTCGTTAGCCCTGATTTGCCACGGCATCTTTTTATGCTTGTCTGGTTAACTTAATGAAGTTTTCTCAGTGAATAAAATCAACTCAATAACTGTTAGTTTCACGAACTATGTTAGCATCTGTTTGTGTGCAATGCATCCCAAGGTTACAGTGTATATATAGTCCTTACTAAAATAACATTAGAAAAATTAAGCACATCCTCACTTTAAGAGGAAAAGTAGCAGCTGGTGTATTCAGGTGTGTCTAAATACGGGGCAATAATCTTTCCAGAAGTGGACATTCTTGCAAATCCAACCCAAGGTAAGATTGTGCAATGCTTAGAAAAACTGCAGAATACCTAAGAGCTACCTCTCAGATTCTGAGGGCCCCAGTTAAACTAGAAAAGGTCTGAACGAATATGGGTTGTTTGGAAAGACTGCTGGGAGAAACAGACAAAAATGCCAAACTTAAGGCTTCAACATTTCAAATAGTACAGTCAGGTTCATCTGCTGGTGCTTTTACTGGAAAAACATGCATTCAAATTCAGAAATGCCACAAATTAAAGTCTTAAGCTGGACCATCCCATGCATAAAGATGGTACTGTGCCCCATCTCTGGTCAAGGTACATGTTATACTTTGGAATAATACTTTTTTGGGGGCAGATCAACCACAGCTATCTTATGGTTCAATCAATCAATCAATCAATCAATCAATCAATCAATCAGCACATTTAAAAACAACACAGGTTGGCCAAAGTGCTGTACATAGTAAAAAAGTAAAAAGTAGATCAAACACACACAAAGAACAAAGCTAGAGAGTAAAAATGTGGTTGCCTCTAACTCGTGTCTGATGCTGACTTGACTTGCTCAGGTGTGCAGTTCAGCCTGTTTTTACTTTTTCTAGAGGAATGATTCTCAACAGCATGTGGTGGGGTCAGTGGTCTATGGGTTTACTTTGTACTGTCTGGATCTGCATGGTGGCTCAAAATCTGATTGTATTTTTCTGCATTAATAATTCTGTCAATTTTAAAAGATCCCCTCAAAATCACTGACTGAAATGCAGACAGACCCTTC